CTTTCTTTGGAAATTTAAGAAGTCATTCATCAATATTGGGTCAATGAAAATTACTCAATGTATACCTTAAAATACTATTAGTTTATAATAATTCTTTGTAAAAGAGCTATTCCGGGGATTTATAATTTATTGATAGGTCCCTGTGATAATTTCCGCATTTTAGCCAGTGGATTCCAAAGTGATGGAATGAATGTATGGCAACCTATTTGTTGCATGGGAAGAAAATAATAGAACTTCTATTCATATGTTTATCTCATTTTTTTAAAGTTCTATTTCTTGGGACAGTTTTATAGTACTCATACTATATATAAATACCATACACAGTACATGTATTTAATCTAATTTTTTTCTGGAAAGGGATGTGTGATCAACAGTTTGAAGAACACTGCCTTAGACTAAGCTGGAATAGTTGCTTATAAAACACATCAAATTTAGGTAACTCACCAATAGTGAGACTCATTGCTTTGAGGAAGAAATATATTTGGTCTTCAAGATTGACAATAAACAAGTAAATGATAATAGGCTTACGTCAAGATGGCAGAGAAAAAAAATGCTGTGATTATGCCCTCTCATGACAACATCAAAATTACAACTAAACTACAGAACAATTGTCATTGGGAATTGCCCGCAGTCTAGCTGAACTAAAGCCCTACAACTAAGTACATACAGAAGAAGCCACCTCAAGACTGGTAGGAGGGGCAGAAACTTGGAATGAGCTGGTCCCACACCCATGTGTGACCATTAACAATCAGGAGGGATATCTCAACTGCAGAGGTTGGAGGTCCACCCCTGGAGAAGCAAGGGGTCCCATACCAGGGACCCCTCACTCCATACCAGCTCCACACCAGGCTTCCAAACTCAGGGTCTAGTGCTAAGGAGACAAGTCCCCATGACTTCTGGCTGTGAAAACCGTGGAGATTGTAGCTGAATGAGATGGAGGGTGACTATACTCACAGACACTCCTCTTAAAGGGCCCACACATGGGCTTACTCGCTGATGGACTCACCTGCTTTGAGCACCATTGCTAGAGCAGCAGCTTGAAAGGCAGCAGGAATATACAAGGAGGAATAGAATTGTCTGACTTCAGAGAGAGGGCTGGAGGGGCAGCTTTCTCCTGGACAGAGGAGCTGGCAGAAGGCACTGTTACTTTGTTGAGCCCTCCCCTCTATGGGTGTGCAAAAGCAGGCAGCCACTATATCTGAGTCTCTATCACCTGGCTAACACTATTTGTCTGCCCTGCCCTGGTGATTCCCTGAGACCCCACCCCACCCAACTTTCGGGCAAAACCAAGCTACTTCCAGTTGCTTTTCGTACAAATAGCCTGTCTTGGCATGCTGCAGGCTTTCCTAAAATCTCTCAAAGATTTACAAAACCCAAACAAGCAGCATCTGGCTTTAGCATGTCCTGTACCTCTGGCCGAGCAGCCCTAATCCTGGCACTAGCAACAGCTGGCCTTGGTTTGCAGCTTGACCTCTCAAGGCACCTCCAAGCCCAGTGCAGTCAGCAGCCATCTGAAATTTCAGATGTGGCTGCTGTGACTGAAATTGGTCTGCAGTAAGTCCCCTCCCAGGAGACCGCGGGGCTGGCATAACTGATGTCCAGCTTCAGACCAAGCCAGGGCATCACCTCACCACCTCCAAGGATGACATACACAAGGGAAGACTGGGAAGATATCAGAGTCCTGGTAAAATGAATCCTGCTCCATAAAGTCAGCCTCCGTACCAAAGCTCCTCCACTGTAGACACAGCCAGTCCTCACAACCAATCAGCCCGAGGGTCTATCCCTCCCAATGATGTGAAAACAGCAACCAAGGCTCAGCTCCAGTAGGAAGGCACATACAATCAATACAAGAAACACACCTGGAGCACCTGGTTCTTGTGACCAGGGAGACTGCGCCACTGGGACCCACAGGAAACCTACTACATAAGGCCACTTTACTAAGACTAGGAGGCAAAGAAGCCCTACCTAATACATAGAAACAAACACAGGGAGACAGCCAAAGTGGAGAGACAAAGAAACATGTCCCAAGTAAAAGAAGAGACCAATGGGCCGGCCGAGTGGCGCGATGGTTAAGAACTGGCTTGGGA